CACACGCACACACCCAAAACACCTCCTAACACACACACACACACACACACACCCCAAACATACACACACGCCCTGAACACCTCCCAACACACACACACACGCCCCGAACACCTCCCAACACACACACACACACAAAACACCTCCTAACACACACACACGCCCCAAACATACACATGCACACACCCCGTACACCTCCCAACACACACACACACAGATGCCCCGAACACACACACTCCAAACACACGCACAGGCCCCAAACGTACACACACACCCCAAACACATGCACACGCCTGTGGAGAAAGTCCAAAGAAGAGCAACAAAAATGATAAAAGGTCTAGGAAACATGACCTATGAGGGAAGATTGAAAAAATTGGGTTTGTTTAGTCTGGAGCAGAGAAGACTGAGAGGGGCCATGAGAACAGTTTTCAAGCACATAAAAGGTTGTTACAAGGAGGAGGGAGAAGAATTGTTCTTCTTAACCTCTGAGGACAGGACAAGAAGCGATGGGCTTAAATTGCAGCAAGGGAGGTTTAGTTTGGACATTAGGAAAAACCTCCTACCTGTCAGGGTGGTTAAACACTGGAATAAATTGCCCAGGGAGGTTGTGGAATCTCCATTACTGGGGATGTTTAAGAGCAGGTTGGACAAACTCCTGTCAGGGGTGGGCTAGATAATACTTAGCCCTGGTGTGAGTGCAGGGGACTGGACTTGATGACCTCTCGAGGTCCCTTCCAGTCCTATGGTTCTATGATATGCATGCCCACCCCCCAATCACACACGTGTGCACACACCCCAAGCATGTGCACACACACAAAGACACTCGCACGCACAGAAGTTCCTGCATATCCAAATGCTCACACAGCCACCGCCTCACATACGCCTGTGACGAAGTGGGGGGTTTTCTTGTTTTCTGTGGAGTTTCAATGGTTTGCATGCGGAGGGGGTTTCCCTGGGGGTTACTGGTTTAACGAGGGGAAGGGAGAGGGAGTGTGTTTTGCAGAGGTCCGGAGAGAGGACGTGGGGACCCAGCCGATGGCGGGGAGGATGGATACCCCAGCGACCGGTGACCTGGTGACCCAGAGGCCCAGCTGAGGAGACGCAGCCGGTTCTGGCCAGTGGGCGGACAATGGGCTGCAGAGTGAGGACCCAGTGACCGAACCAGCCGGTTCCAGCCAGAGGACAGAAGTGAGGAGAGGAGGCCCCGGTTTACGACCCTGTTTACCTGGAGAGAAGACAATGGACAGAGGCGGGGTTTGGGCCCGGGGGTATTAGATGCCCAGCTGGGAGCAGGGGGGCTCGGGGCTGGAGAGGGGGAGCAGGCAGAGCCCACCTGGATACAGGGAGACTGGGATGTGCTGGGCTGAGGGAGGCCAGGCCTGAGGCCCTGAGAGTTTCCTATGCTGTGTTCAACTCTCAATAAACTCTCCTGTTTCATGCTGGCTGAGAGTCACTCCGGTCTAGAGAACAGGGTTGCATCAACCCCTTCGGGGGTGGAGGCCCCGGGGGTCCAGAGCGAGTGGACTCCCTGAGGGGGTCCACAGCAGAGACAGACGTACTAAGGCTCAGAGAGGTGCGGCTCCAGGAGGTGGAGGGAGGGGCCTGACCCCGAGAGAGAGTGGACCCCCGAGAAGGGCTGTGGCACTGAAAGGGGCACCCCCCACGGACCGCAAGGGGCCAAGAGTGGGCACGGTCTGTGAGTCCGTAACAACGCCCCCAGGGGCGCAGACCCCTGGAATGAAGTAGGATTTTTCCAGAATATTTTGTATGCAGTGTGCGTGCCTCAGTTTCCCCTAAGCACTGCATGAGTAGCTGGGGGGGGACGTGTTTTCTTTGTAGAAGAATCCAGAGTTCCATGTGGGGCCTGGGCCCAGACAACAGCCCAGCGATCTGTTACCTAGCGACTGAGGACCCTGGCCCTCTGCAGGAAGCCAGGATCAAAGAGTGAGGCAGGAGGAGACGGGGCAGCCCTGTTTGTGGAGGAAGAAGAGGAACAAAGACTGAAGAGTAGGGGGGCGATGACCTGTGGGTCATGGGCGGCTGGAGACACACTTCTGGACTTGGGGGGAGGGAGGGGACTCTACAGAGGGGTCTGAGCGCACCTGGGCTCTGGTCACACCCCGCAGGACCCTGCTGTAACGTTCCCCTTCTCTGTGCTAACCACGGACGGTCTCTGTGGCGTCCAACATCTAATAACCCTCCTGCTCTTACCCCGCTGCCGAGAGGCACTGAGTCTCAAGGGGTCAGGCCATTGGTCCCTGCGGGGGTGCAAGCCTCCCAGGGTGCGATTCGAGTGGGCTGGCTGAGGGGGCTGAAGGCTCAGAGCTGCTGTCCCAGGAGGCGGGGTGGAGGGGTCGGGGGCTGACGCCAGCGAGGGAGCGTGACACTAAGGGGGCAACGCTCTAACGGGGTCCTCCCAGGGGCCAGCCACCGCTCCAGAGCCGCCGGGGAGCACCGGCCGGTGGAGCTGTGACAGCCCCCAAACCAACCTCCCCCGGAGGCCCCGCACGGCTGCTGGGGGGCTGGTTCGGGGAGGTACCTTGGGCTCCGGCTGGGCGTCCGCAGAGACCTCCCGGTACTCGTGCCACCTCAGCCCGTCCGTGCTGAACTGCAGGAAGAAGCTGGT